AATTTAATAGAATTATACTACCTGTTCTAGCCTAATCAGGAGCCAAAGAAAAACACGTCTCTCAGGGCTGAGACCAAAAAGAAACTGGGCATGCTCAGACCCTGAAGGGGCGTGGCGACTTTGATTGTTTGGTCTGATTGGGCTAGAGGACAATTAACACCCACACGTGGAGTCTACATTCCTCCCTTTGCTGGAGAAGGGACAGGGACCTATTATCTTTATGCTTTCTACTTTATCTTTCAGAGACAACTAGCTTACTACATTTGAAAGAGAATGCTTTGTATAAAAAACAGATAGCAAATACAAATACATGTCAGAAAATGTGATTGACTTTGTTCCCATGTTACCACAGACTTTATAACAAACCCAGTTTTAGCCTTATGTACTGTAGTCTATTTCCTTGCTTTGTTTTTAACTACAGGGAATTTTTCTGTTGTTTAAATATTTCTTAATAGTAAAACCCATACTTGTATTTGTATTTTAAGAGCTTTGTATACATAAAAGTGTGTGGGAAGTACAATTCATGAAACTGGATTAGCAAACATGTTTTTCAAATGAAAATTTCTAACTAAAACATTTTTCTTGAGATAAGTGCTTACCTTGTATTTTCCTTTGATAATGCCTTCAAACAATCTTTCCTTTGTACCATAAAAAGGTAAACAACCACTAAGCAGAATAAAAAGAATCACTCCACAGCCCCACACATCTACAGGCTTTCCATAAGGCTCTCTTTTTACTACTTCTGGAGCCATAAAATGAGGAGTTCCTACACGTCCTAAAATAAAATTAAAAATGTATTGTTTTTAAAGATGGCAGAGAAATACAAATCAAAATTTTACACTGCTTTTATTTTATCATATTTTATTGATTTAGTTATGTGATTTATCTGCAACCTCTGTTCTAGCAGGCCTCTAGATGGTGTACAGTTACTAACAATTATATAGCAACACAAGATCCAATAGCAGTATGCTCATGGTTGCACACTAATCAATCATAGCAATCAATCAATCAACCAATCAATCAACCAATCAATCAATCAATCAATCAATCAATCAATCAATCAATCAATCACCAAAGCCAGAGCAGCCAGCTTCTGGAAGGCTCTGAGAACTGAACCATCTTCATTTTGGGGGGGCAACCCAAAATGTGATGTGTTAATACAGTTACAATTGAGACATCAGCGCCCAAATATTCTTTCTTAATTCATCTCTTATAGCAGGCATGTCAAACTGCAGGCCCGTGACCGGATGCATCATGCCAAAACCGCGCCCACCCCATTGCTGGCAATGGGGAAAAAGTCCCAATACGTCGGTCGCGAGTTTGACATGCCTGTCTTATACTGTAGTAATAGTGACTGGAGACCACACCCACCTGCCATTTCAGAGTCCCACATCTGGACTACCAAGGCAATTTTTAAGGGGGAGAGGTCCTAACCTTTCCTTCTAGATGATGGAATTTCCTCGCAAAAATTCTTCTGCACTGATATGGAAACAATTTTAATCCCTCACTAATTTATATGCATAAATATAGAACAGAAAGACAGATTGCACCTGAAGAAGAAAAAAAGCATATTGTGACCATATGCCTTTTGTAGCTTGTGACTAAGTTATGAAATCCTGGCATGCAAGCCTGGAATCAATTCAGCGTAGAGGTAAAAACATCAGGCACTAACATTCTTTATCCATTGAAACTTTAGGACCATTTTCAAAAATAGCTCTATTCACAGCAGTGCAAATGGAGAATTACTACACTTAGGAAAATCATCACTAGATCATAGAAATCACAGTTGTGCGAAATATTTTTATTTGAAAAAACTTTCTGAGTTGAACACCCTGTTTCAAGCTTGAAATGACTGTTTGACCTAACCAGAACAGTCCTATTTCCAGCTTAGAAGTTCTTCAGAAAAGTTCTGTTGGAGTTGAGAGAGCCTATTTGAAACTTGAAATCACCATTTCCAGTTCAAAATAGCTATTTCTACTTTGAAACTTTCTGCACACATTTAATAGTTACACGCACACATATATGCATGCACACGTTAAATTCTTCAAAAGCATAATTCCTGAGGTAAGTAAGAGGAGCTAATTTGTCTGTGAAACACTGGTTTTGTTTATTCTCAAAAAGGCACTCCCCAAAGTTGATGTGTTTTGCTTAATCAGGCTAGAATAGACAGTGCTAGGTTACAACAAAGACTTAAATTAAAGAAACTCACATTTAAATAAAATATGAAACATATTTAATAAATTAATATATTATTTTATTTTCCATTTATTTTTCATTCTTTAGCATGGTTTACTTTGCAAATATTTAATGACTTTTTCTTAATTATCACTTGCAGAATATTCAAGTTACACAATTAGACTGTTCTCCGTTTTCTTTTTTATAAACAAGCTGTAAACATTTAGTAAAAATGTTTACTAAACATGATATGAAATAGCCATTACTTACCTCCAGCAACAAGTCCTGATTCTCCTAATTGAATAGCAACCCCAAAACCACCAAGTTTTACTGGTGCTGAATTTTCCTTTGAAGCAAGTAGTACACAGTGTGGCTGAAATGACAAAAATCACTCTGGTGTTTAATTAAAAACCATTTATTATGGCACCAGAATATATATGTACAATAGACATTGACCGGGTGTATCATGCATAGTTAAAATGGGCTCTTCAAGTCAGATGGCACTCAATATGCTAGTGAGGAATCTAAAAAACTTTTGGAGTACCAATGGTATTTAGAATGTGGCTAGATTAAAACCTTTGCAACGACCAGTTTCTTACTAGCATGGAGGAAAACAAAATTCAAAGCTGCAAAGAAGTCAAAATTACAGTGGTAACATAAAATATGAAAAAGTTGTGAACACTGAAACAGGCAGTAAAAGATGACACAAAATGACACTTTAGGCATCAGTAAATTGAGATGGACTGGGATTGGACATTTTCAGTCAGAAGATCATACTATTTATTATTCAGGATATGAAAACAAATTACAATGGTGTTGTTATAGGTAGGAAAGGTATAGAAAGAAGAGTATTTGCTACAATGCAATCAATGATTCCATAATACCACTTAGCCTTCATGTATAATCCTTTAATACAACAATCATCCAAGTTTATGTTCCAATCATTGATGAGGAAGAGGAGGCGGCTGAGGAATTTTATGATCAAGTCCAATTTGAATCCAACAGAACATGCAAGCAAGATGCTTATGGTTGGAAGTGGAATGCAAAAATAGGAAATATTGAGGAAAATATAGTTCGGTTGCATGGCTTAGGAAACTGAACTGAAACAGGAGAACAACTTATTCATTTCTGCTATTCCAATGTTTTCTTCATAACGAACACTAACTTCAAAAAAACCCCCAAACAATGTTGCAAATCACCAGATGAAGTACACAGAAATCAAACTGGCCATATGATTATTAGCTCAGTTATAGGATTAAAGAGATGATAAAGTGCTGTTTCTGGAATAGATCATGAACTGCTCATGTGCACATTCCAAGTGAAGCTAATGAAGTAGAAAATAACCAACTTCCACAATATGAAAAAATACTGGAAACAGTTGGAAACAATTACAGAAAACAAGGAAAGTCTTTCAAAAGATCTCCAAGCTCAGGAGGAGGTTCCATCTTCAATAGAAGCAGGGGTGTTAAACTGCTGGCCTGTAGGCCCGATGTGTCATGCTGAAACCGTGCCCACCCCATTGCTGGCAATGGAAAAAAGTCGCAATACATCGTGACATGTCACATGACATTGCAAGTTTGACACCCGTGCTAAAGGATGTCAGTGAATAAATAATAACTGATTCAAAGAGAAAAAAAAGATGGAAGGAATAAACCGAAATTCTGTGCAGTAGAGATGCCAATGTTCAAGATACCTTAGAAGACATTCTCTATCTACAAGAACCTCTAACAACAGTCTGATCACCATCAAGATGGAAGGGTACAGAAATTGATGGACTATCTACATCAGACATGTCAAACTCACGACGTCATGTGACATCGCGTGACGTATTGGAGCTTTCCCCCCATTGCCGGCAATGGGGTGGGTGTGGTTTCCTCGTGACGCGTCCGGCCTGCGGGCCGGCAGTTTGACACCCCTGATCTACATAAGTATATCAAGCAACTGAAGAAAAACCAGAAAAATTCTAACCAAACTTTAGAGAACATCAGTGGCCATCAAATATGAAGACATCAATCTATATACTAAAAGCAAAGAAAGGAGACTTAACTGAGGGTACAACCTATTGTACTGTATCATTAATTTTGCACGCTAGGAAAATAATGCTTAGGAACATCCAATGCAGATTAAACCGTACATGGAAAAGGATACAGATATTCAAGTTGGTTTCAGAAAGAATCAAGATATAAGTGATATAGCTTGCTTTTTATTTTGGATTTTACTTTAACTTGTATATCAAGTTTCTCCCCGTACGTGTGGAGGAATGAGGAAAAGTGAAACTAAAATGGCGATGGATTGATACTTTTCAGCAAGAAGTGAAAGTGATTTCCGGTTTGAAATTTTTGCTACTTTGAATCCGCGTATTACTTGTTTTGACTGAACTGCTTAAACTTAT